GATGATGATGATGACGAAGATGATGGCGATGATGATGACGATGATGATGATGGTGGTGATCGTGAGCAGATGATGAGGAGGCACAGGATCAGGAGAAGGATGAGGGAAGATCAGGAGGCCAATGCTAGCGGCTGGTGCTGGCACTTGTTCTGCATCTGATGGCTTAAGCGTGTATTTCCAATGCTTCCATCCACTTTCTGGGCCAAAGCGACCTCGATACGTGCACCACTTTCGATGCAGAACTTTTTGATGGTCTCACCGCCCCGGCCTCGGCCGCAGTGTGCTTAATGGTCCAGGCTTTAGGATATTAGGCTTCAAGGTGTAGAGTTTGAAGCTCAGGGTTTCGGGGTTGGGGCTTGGGAGCTACAGGGCTTGTGATCTGGGGCTCATGGTGCTCGGTGCACCATTTTTGCGGAAGCCCCGCTTGCGGCCTGAGGGCCAGGCCAATGATTGCTCCGATCATGGAGGAAGGTACCTCATACTTCCAGTCCATGAACATGCTGTACATAGCATTTTTTGTTGAAATATGCCTTGCTTCAACTTGTCCATCAACATCTTACAAGCATGTCTGTGTGCGTACGTGCATCTCTACATATATATATATATATATACATACAACATACATATATATATACACATATATATATATATATACACATATATATATATATACACATATGTATATATATATATACATATATATATATGATTATAAATGATTCTATATGATGATATATGTGTATACATACATATACATATATATATAGAGATGAATATAGATGTTACCCCATTTTCCATTCAGAGGAGTACGCTGCCTAGCTAAAACATGCACACAAGCAGAACGCACTTGAGGAGGGCTCAGCCAACCCGGCGCAGAAGTCTGTCTAGAGGGGAAGGGGGAAAGAGAGATTGAACCCGACTGATTGACGTACGACGCAAACGCACAGCTAAACAGCGCATATACATACATGAATACCTGTGTATGTGTGTATATATATATACACACCTATGCGTATATATACATATATATATATCCTGGGTATAAATGTATATACATATATACGTCTACGCACACGGTCGAGTGCAGCATATGTATGTAGCCACCAGGTATACTATACATCACGTGTAGTAAACATGCATATGCAGTTCCACACTGCTTGCGTGTACGTAGTTGTGTTAACGTGTGCATGTATGTTCCTTGCATACTGCACATTGACACATACAGTATACAGTAGCTAACTGCATTTTCCGATAGGGGAAGCAGGGCACACTCAGCATCTTGTTGGCTTCGTCCGCCCTTCCTGCGCCCGAAGCAGGAAGGGAAGTCTGCAGTCTGAGATAAGTTTTTTGCGCGAAGGCGTTCCTTCTCATGGGTTATCTTGGAAAGGGGGAATCCAAACTGGCACGTTCAAATCTGCAGCCTAATGTTTGAAGGGCTTCGGGCCTAGCAAACCGTCCGGTCCACACCAAACACTGAGCGGAACGCCCCATGACCTCATCGAAAGCTGGAAATCTCCGACCCCTCCTCTACCATCTTTGCCGCGGCCCTTCCTGCACATGCTTCGGAGCTGCGTTCTCTTCTACAGAAACTGTTTCACGGCGCAGGCGGCCCTAGTGCAGCTGCCTCTGCCTCAGCTGTTACTACATAACGCCGCGGCGGCGCAGCTGCATGTTCTAGACTCATGATAGAGGATTCAAGATATACCTGAACTCTTTTCAAGCCGACGACGGCTGGAAGCAGGTTGCCTGCTGCCGCTAAGGGCAGCATCCTGTGTTGCCAGGACGCCTTGGTTGGGAGAATCCTTTGCGGACTTCATGTTCTTCAAACCAGCGATAAGCACGGAAAACACGACAGACTTGCAGTCAAAGCTGTGATAGAAGTCTGTCACATAGGTTTCGTCTGTAGCAGGATCAACCGCCTTGGGGCAGGACGGTCCAAGATGTCATCGGGAAAGCGAATGAATTTCACCTCATTATACAGGCCAAGTTCTGGCAGATGTCGGGTTCATTTCAGACAGAACTCGCATGCGACTTATTCTGTGGACATCGGCCTCCCTGCCAACACAGTCAACCTCCGTACTGCAACAGCAGATCAGGGCGGCGCAAACTGCCCACGGATTGTACACTCCTGCAAACGAACAGGTGAAAGAGATTCAAAACAGGGATCCTGAATGCTGTCAACATCTTCACCGCATTCGTAGAGATGGAGCTCGTAGTGCCAGAAGTTCTGTGGGACACTCAATAAATTTTGGCATGAGAGGCGGGAGGCAGATCGACTCCTTCATACGCTCGAACTTGTGCTCGGTATGCGGGGTCAAGATCGCATCCTGCCGCAGAGCGACTGGGGACCTTGCCTAGGGAGCCGGCATCACAGCTGTTCGAGCAGTGGAATTGCGGTCGTGAGAATGGTTGTTGAAAGGCACAACACCTAGCACATGGCTCATCATATGAACCATGCGACTGTACCCATGCATTACCAATTTCAGCCGCTGGCCTCTCTGCATGCCAATCCCATGTCTTCACCTCCTGCTCTCCCTGACCCAGCCCACGTTCCCACACCCGCACGGGGAGCCGGTCTGAAACCCAGCACCCGCACCGAGCGTTCCGGAAACAATGCCACCCCTATTGAGGTTGGCATAGCAGGGTGCTTGCCCCGAGCCGGCCTCCATGCGGATGTTCATCGAGTTATCGACCGCAACCTTGGCGAAAGCAACATCATTCAGTGATACATGTTCAATCATCTAAACTTGGGGGGGGCAATGATTTGCTGTCGAATCATGCCTAACTAACCGTCTGCCCAAACTGCGAGCTTGTCTCGGCTGCCAGCGAGAGTGCCGCTGTATGAGTCGCCATTTTTAAGCTCCACCAGCACAGGCCTGCACCACACTAGGTAGGTGTTTCTGCTCGACTCTGCCCGTCGCAAGTTGAGCTAAGTTGATGCTAGGGTTGTGAGATCACGCATTGACCTTCATCAGTCCTGCACCACACAGGGCAGTACAGCTACAGGTCTCCCAGCGACTGTATGCGCAACAAGCCAGCTCGGTAGCTCGCCCGTGGCTTGCAGACCGCAGCACTGCTTGTGGCAGCACCATGGCATTGGTGTTCAAAAGTGACCGACTTTGGATCTGCAGCTGACATGGGTGCTGTAAACTGTCTGTCAAGCTTTCATTGCAGGAACTGCGCAGCCTGTTCTACAGAGATTTTTTCGACCTTGCTCCAATCTGCTCCCAGCATACAAAGAAGACTGCACCACCATGCTTGAAATTCCTTGAAGAAGCCAGGTGACAAGTCACTACGCAAAGCATTCGCCAAAGAACCTCTCATCTCACAGGCATGCGGCGCAGTATTTTCGTCTGCGCAGTCATGGCCTACTTCTGTGTCGGCATCTGCAAGCGACACCACCACCGGAAAGCGTCCCCACTGCTTTGACAGACATGTCTGTAAGCTCTGATGCCAGTCAAACGTGGCGAAACTTGGCACAACTTCTGCCTGAAAGCACATCGCATGTCTTGCAGAAGCCGCCGGTTGCTGGCAAACAAGCACAGAACACCTGTCAAGCCAAACAGTGCTTGCAATCAGTGAAGTTGCAGCATGGCAAGCTTGCAACTCTCTGTCTGGGTCTGCCATTTTTGCGAATCGTACGCACAGAATTTTCGAGGGCATCTGAATTAAACAAGAACATCTTGTTTATAGAAGCAGTTTGGCACAGTGCAGACAGTCGCTTCGAACCGCTGCAGGAAGACGTGCCGCTGCAAGAAACTCTTCAGCGGAGCTTCTGAAGTTTGTGAAGGGCTTGGTCCAGATCATCGCACTCTTCCTTGAGTTTATCCTCCTTCTCTTGAAGAGCCTTCACCCGCTCGCCGAGATCGCCAGAGATGAACACTTTGGTGAGCTCCTGCAAGATGCTTTCCTCGTAAGCGTGCCGGTAGAAAGTTGAATTGAGGCTCCCAAGCAAGCCCGACATGCATCGCATGACCACAGCAGTAGAGAATTGAGGTGCAAAGACAGCGAAAGCCACGGCAGTCATCCCCAGGAGCTTCTGAAGGTGAACATCTTCCGTACCACCGAAGATGCCCGCCTCTTTTGCCTGACTTAAGATGTGGCCGACAAGGACAGGCAGCGACCGACGCATGGCAAGGCCACCGAGAATGCTCAGTCCTTCTTTGATTCCCGTGAATATTTCCGGGTTTGTGTTGTCAAGTCCATTGAGGTTTTTGAGAACTTCGGAAGTCACAGCGTCGAGCAACCATTTCCCAGCATCGCCGTGCAACAGCTGGTCACTTCGGCAGAAAGCGCCGATTTGATGCATGAACTGATTGTGATCACTTACGGAGCTGAGGTAAGCGTGCTGAGCATGTACCAAAAGGTGTTTGATGAAGCCTTTGCGCATGACGTCAAAGACATGGTCCACGCTGCTGCCTGCCGCCAAGGCTTCTATGAGATCCCTTTCGTTGTCGTTCTTGCGCATGTTGCTGAAGGCGCAGGCCAACCCTTGGGTCATCAGGTAGGATATCTTCTGCACCAAGTACATCGTCACGTCTCGCATCTTTGCAGCTTTGGTGTTGCCTACGATGAAAATCTGCTGGAGGGGGTCTTTCACGAAGGGCATGTCAGGGTTCGGCGTGTGCGCGTTCTTGATGCGAGATACATCACCTGCATCCTGAGGTAAACCCAGACTAATTCCACATGCTCCACTAGCGGTCACGCCCTCCACCGCCCCCCCTCCCCCCGCCCCGGCGCCATGCCGATCCGGACGACGCAAAGCGTTTGCAGGCCTGATGCTTATACTTTCGCACTTTCTCATTTCGTGGTGTTGGATTCATGGACACGCCAAGCCTCGAAACGTGATACACAAATAATGCGCGTGAGACTATCAGAAGTGATAGTGGTAGCGGCACAGTGGCAGTAATTAGTCGAGGTCCTCGTGGCGGGGGAAGAAGTAGTAGTATTAGTCGTCGTCGTCGTAGTAGTACCGGTCACAGCAGAAGAAGTGAAGTGTTACTTTTGTTGGCACGACTCGTTCGGAAGTTCAAAATACTGGCAAAGTCAATACAGTTCGGAGCGCCTTTAGAAGGTATTTACGCCTGCGATGACGGTTTACAATACATAATAGAGCAGATACCGCGTAATTACCACCTCTGTGGCCGTCGGGTCCCCGTCGCCAAATTTCAATATATACGGTTTGTCCATCAGATTCTCAACCCAGGAACTTCTTCATCAGTTCGCTTACTCGTGGTCCAAGCACCAACAGAGCTTCTTTGTGAAGAGAACCCTAATGGGCTTCTGAGATGGAAGCCTTGCGAGTGCGAAAATACATAACCTTTTCTGGGACCTGGCGAGGTGCAAAAAGCGTACCATGGCTTGACCCTAAACAACCCAAAAGAAGGGTGCCTATTTGTGCGCTGCTGGTAAGGGACGGGTGATGTGGTGTGCCGTGAGAGAGTGGCGGAAGGGTATGTAATCTGTGGCGGGAGGGCGGAAGCCCTCTGTCGCCAAGATGAACTAAACATGCGGAACTAGACAGACGCCGTCTACTTATTCTCCCTCTGTGCAGCCTCCCTGTTGGCCGCATTACCGTAGGTTGACATTGAGTCTGCGAATCCTTCTACATTGGCGTGGAAGGGCACCCTGTGCGCACACGAACGAGCAAATGTGACAAACTTCAATTCGACCTACGTTCGCTCCCAGCATCAAAGTACATGTACTGCAGCGCCATGAACTCGAAGAACTCAGCTGCCCGTGTCATCGCGGCTCCAGCAATCAGGGGATCCTCGCTTTGCGCAACCTGGCTTAGAAATTCCTTTTTTTCCAGAATCCCCTTGTAGAAGTCACTGAACTCATCCGGTGCCTGTTCGTCGGCGCGGCTGTAGTCGATGATCGACATCCGTCTCTCGTTCCATGCCGCCTTCATGGAGTCCGACGAGAAGGAGGCCGCAGCCTGCATGAACTCTTCCTCCTCTTGCAAGAGAGTCTTCGCGGTCTCCTTTCAACACAGCCATGCCTACGAAGCGACATAAACCCCTGATACTGCAGGCCGACAGTGCAGTCCTCGAGTGCACGACAAGAGGACAGATGGAGCGAAAGGCATTGACCGGGTGATCGACTGACAAACTTTTCCGTGTCGGCGAGAAGGGCTGAGACCAACTTGCTGCATCGACTTTTCAGTACTTCTGGATCGGTGATCTTTCGTTCGGCCGCAGTCTTATGCAATGCCAACTCGACCTTGCTTTGGCTCTGTTGGATCTGGCTGATGATTCGAGGCAAGTTGGACATGTCCATTCCAAGGGACATCTCATGCACGCGAGACTGCACATGCTTGAAACCGACCTTTGTGTCCCAGTACTCGCGCCTCTCACCCTGCAGGGCGTTCATAACTTCATCCCGAAATTTGTTGATGTCGTTCTGCTCACGCTGGTCTGCTTTTTGATACTCCTCATTCCGCACATTCACATCCTTGATGTCGGCTGTTTTGTCGAAAGTGCTGCCCATCAGCATTGGCTCAACTTCAAACTCCTTCTTCCAGCGATCCAGATGCTCTTGCACGTGATCTTTCCGGCGAGTGTTTGCGAACCATTTGTCCGACTTTGTTAGCACCAACAACAACCTGTCAGAGAGGCTCTCCACGCGGGTTCCATGGTCACGGAACAGCTTCACCATGTTGTTGTTCGCCTATGCCAAAGAGCTGGCCAAGGCATGTTTCACAACAAAAACAGGAATTAGTGCATCAATTGGGCGAAGTATGTACTCAGCATGCCCGACAGATGTGTTGCTGAAACAGGGCCAGTTGCAGGTTCATCGTCAGCATATGCCAGGCAAACCACTACGGAGTTGGGCTTCCTTATGGCCTCGGAAATCATGTCAATGATGGCCTGGTTGACGCCTTTTGCTTCTGGCTCATCGCTTGCTCGTACCCCGGGAAGATCCATCACCCTTCGCGGGGTCTTACATTTTTGGGTATGGATCGTGATGTCGAGTTTCTCCTTCGCAACCTTGGTGTTTCTGTCAACAACCCACTGGCTCAGTTTAGTCAGCGCATCGACTCCATCGAAGACCTCTTTCGGGCTCATAGTTCCATCAGGAAGTTCCTCCCTGACCGTCACTTCATCTCCACTGCAGGCAGGCAGTAGGGTCAACACCGACGGTCGCTTTGTTGCCATACCATCGCTGACCACGCTGAAGGCGTAGCCAAGGTACCTCTCCACAAACGAAGTCTTTCCAGCAGACTGCTGCCCAACCACTAAGACCAATGCAGAGTCGAACTCCATGTTGTACCTGCTTGAAAGTTTCCAGGCCTCTGCAACGGCCAATGTGGCTGACTTGGGATCAATGGCTTTCGTGGATCGCGGCTTCGCTCCATGCAGAAGCTTTACTGCCTCAGGCCGAGGCCGCTGCAGCAAAGTCGGAAGCGGTGCCTCGGAGCGATCTGCCGTGCTTTGCTTCATCTGATCGTCTCGCCCAATGCCAAAGGCCATGTCGATCATATCGGACCGAAGACCGAGACTACACTTGAGCAGAAGTCTGCGAAATCGCGCGTCTGTGTTTCGGCAATGCGACAACTTGCATCTGGCTATGTGATTCTAAGCAAGTTCCCGAGTTCCCCAACCACAAACGCCCAACCGACCTCGGCGAGCCGAAGAAGGCCAAATCACCTCGTTTCAAGAAGCTGTCGGGTCCGTCGTGTACTTGGCTGGATCTGTGGATAGCTCTAGGATCGGGCCATTCACGTTGCGTGTTGTTCAGGAAATTTAGGAAGCTTAATCTTTAAAGCCCTCCACGTTCTACATAGAAGAGCATCTTTGCGGTAGTCGGTCCATCGACAGTCTGGAAACGTCCATGACAAAGAGGCCTCGATCGGGCCTTTTCGTGTTCTCTGGAGGCCACCCTGAAGCAATGGACTTAAACGAGCGATTCCAACGAGTGATCTCCAAGTAATGCTTGAGCAGGTCTGCCGGCCCCTGCTGTTTCTGCCATCGCCACAGTTCCTTCTTGAAGAGAATGACCGAGGTGAGACGAGTCTGTGAGGCTCGTAGAAGATTTGAGTCGTACCAGAAGCCCAACATTGGGCGTCACAACCAACCTGGTGGAGCTTCGACCCGTCACTTCCGACAGCACTTTGATCGCTGATCTACGTGCGATGTGGAGTGCGCTGGCTACCAACTTGACTCGGAAACTGCCAGCCTGTTTGACGTGCCTTTCCACTTCGCACCCTCAGCAATATGCGACGTGCGTTGTCGCCATGCTGGTTCTGCCGGATTGCCGGGGACAAAGTGGCATTGAAGATTGAAGGGACTGCGAGAAACAGAACTCTACGGCTTCACGTTCAAGCTGTCCCCATTTGTAATGGGTATACTCATACTTCGGCCCCGGCAGTTCCCTCTCCGCAAGAGCAAGTGAAGCACGTTCGGATTCCATAACACTTTAGAAGGGTTTTGATTACGGTTCGGACCAAACGTGCAAGAAAAGGACCCTAGTAACTCCCTAGTAAACGGAACCATGCCCAAACAGGGCACGTTTCTCGCTTTCACAAGCTCCTGCGCGTCCTTGGATTCCTCCCAAGGGTCCAGTCCAGGTATAATCATGTGTAAGTTTTCTTGGCATGTATCATTTATGGGTTAGAACTGCAGAACTCCAATGCCCGACAAATCTAGTCCCTTGCACTAAATGATTCGACTACTCATGCTTCTCGAACTTATCGAACCGAATATGGCTTCGGGGTGTGCTAAAGTTTACGTAGAAGTGGGACCATAAGGGATTGGAAGTACACAGTATGTAGGCGTCTACATTACACCGACTTGGACC